GTGCAACTCTTACTTAATTAAAAAAAATAAAAATTTATCAATTTAATTTTGTGGAAGCTAAAATGGACCTGGTTCTTCATACCACTTCTTTTATCAGCTCCAGTCTCTCATTCTCCAGGGAAGCAGTACAGAAGTGTCTTGTCCTTTGATAGCAATAGATAAGTAACCTCATTTTGTAAAAGCAGAACTCAACAGAGTTGTACTTTGTCTTCAGCAGAAGCAGGGAATCAGACTTCACTGCCTTGTTCTGAAACTATTTTAAGGCAATTTAATGCCTTATACATGATCATCGAAAAGCTTCCTGTTGCACCTTTTCTTTCCTCACCACTCTTTTCACCTGGCATTTCTTTATGCAACAGAGTACCAGGAGGTTTTATATTTAGAAGAAATAGAACTGGTCATATTTTCTGAACCCATATTTTGAGGCCTTCTGCATCCTTATCTATCTATTACATTCAGGTCAAATGTTTGTCTTTTGGTAGCAGTAAGGATTAAAGATGTAATTGCTTTTAAACCAGACATTTTTAACTCTCCTTAGCTAAAAAACCTGGAGCATTAGATTAACACTTCCCTGCCTCAGCCTTCATCAGCCTTTCACTGCTAGCCAGTGAAAAAGAAAAAAATACCCAACAATAACCATATTTATTAAGGCTTTTTTACCTTGACTTTAGGTCTTGCTAAATACCTCCTCATAGACTAAATCAAGACCAAATGACAACTTCAGATTTAGTGAGGAGTTTGGTTACAATGCCATGAAAAAACTGTGATGTCTCTATACCTCTGTCTAGACTGAACTGCCAATGAGTATGAATGCACTACACAAACACAGATGGGCACTCTTCTGTCTTGTGATGACTCCTATGACCTGAAGAAGATGAAGACTTGATGCAAATCACAGAAATTACTTGGTGTGATTTTGTTTAAATGGTCTGCCTGACAGAAATCAGTGTCTTTGTGCACAGTAGGTAAGACAAATCAAAAGAACTTAAGAAAAAATGCCTGTGTTACATTGACAGATGGAAAGCAAACAATCTGTACAAGACTGTGTTTCTCTGGCAAAATTAAACCAAAATATTACTTAACATTATGAAAATTTAAATAAACAAAAGCTTCACTATTGTATTTCACTATACCATTTTTATAATTAAATATTTCACACTTTCAAGCAACAGTAAGATGATTATGAAACCCACAATTTTACCTTTGCACACATTCACACCTGTGTTCCTTCAGTTCACTGAATTTAGTGGAATAACATCTGATTAAAAGTAAACCAAGAGAAGAAACAGAGCTAAAGACTGAAAGTAAACCTGAAGGTTTGGATGAAACATAATCCTCAGCATGAGATACAAAAGGTGACTTTCCTGGCAAGTGCTACCCAAATTCTTAATAGCTTTTTGTATGTAACCTCACCTCATCTAATCCTGACATAATATTAATTAGTCTTAGTCCTATTGCAGAGAAGCCTACTGAGGCAGTTAGCACCATACAATTAATCAGATATTTTGCATGCATCACAGCAACCAACAGTGTAAACTTATTGATGTGAGTTAATACAAACAGAAATCAACCTTGCCTTTCCCATTCTCATGAGATAAAAGTACGTGGCATGGAGTGAACATATGATTATTTCTTCTATACGCCACTTATTGTCCTTTCTTCCCTTAGCAGCCTTTTCTTTAGGCTTCATTGCTCTCTGCAAAGCATCTTTTGGTTTTTTTCCTGCTGTTACTAGAAGAGAAATGTGATTTGGTATTTCTCTTAAATTTCTGTTTCTTGATAGAAGGATAAGTTTATCAGCTGAAATTAACAATGATAGACATCATTCTTGCCAGTGAAATTAATGAATCTCACCTTTCTTTTTCCTGTGTGCTTCAACAGTTCTTTAAGAAACTGAATTTTACACGTTCACATAAATATACATTTGAGAGCACTGCAGCAGTCATTGCAAAGCAACAGAAAATATTTTATACTTAAGAATGTAAGTATATACAATGTACACACTAACTCAACTGATTAAAAGCTTCACCACCTATCAATGTAATCACACATCTTAATTTTATTCCATTGTTTGAAATTTATCTTTCCTCTTCATTGCAGGAGCCAAACATCACAGTATTGTACATAATATCACTGAAGAGGAAACCATACGATTATACAATTTGATGGCAAAGAACAAAAGGAAAACAATTTCACAAAACTGCATTTTCCTAAGCTTAAACCAAAAGAGTTTAATAAAACCACAAGAAGGTTTACTCAGTTTTGTATGGCATGTGTAATATGCTGTGGTATTAATAGTATATGCAAGGTTTAATACATGCATATATGAAGGTGGTGTTTCACTTCAGCAGAATATGGTAAAGCTACTTGCAACATCAATTCAGTCCACAAATAATACTGAACATAAGAAAGTCTAATATTTAGTGATTTCTCAGATTATCAGTGAGATTATAATATTCCTATAATGGCACTATTTAAATGATACTTTATCTCAGGAACTGACAATTCTTCAACACATTCTCTCTACAGTGTTTGTGCCCCAAACAGTTAAGTATCTAAGACAGGAATTATTAAAAATTGGGACAGCTCTAGTGTTTGCATTTCTTAGCAAAAGAACATGGACAGTCTATTCACTACATGGCAGAAGCAGTCATTCTCCATTATTGCTGCCCAAACTTTTGGGGATTTTTTTGGTATTTAAAGGCCTATCACAAGAAATTGGTGAGCTTATGGGAACTGTCAAATGTTTCAGGTACTGTTATACATGATTACCACTCCTCAACAAAGGAATCTAACCTTCATTTCTCAGTACATAATTGTCCTGCACCTCTCCTATAGTAAACTTCTCAATTTATTATAATACTAGAAGAATTAAAACTCTTGATAGGATGGCTACCAAGCTTCCATTAAGCAAACTGAAATAGCAGTAAGTAAGGCTAATAAAACTGTTAATTTTTTCCCATTTTATCAAGTAGTGGATATGTTACCAAACAGCAGCAACTAGGAAGAACAGGTAAGATGCTGTAAGTTTGTCCCAAACAACTTAAAGCCCATCATCAAGCTACCTATATGTACTGATGCTTCTTCCATCCTAAAGACACAGCTGTCCTTTATTTTCTCATCCTATGCTGCATTTTATAATCCTGCAGTGACCTTCACTATCATCTCATTCAGATTTGTCACTCTGACAGTCAGAATGGCTGACACAACACAGGGCCAACATAACACCACTGTGAGATGCTGGAGGTTCACAACAGGATTTCGGTTAGTGATTGTAAGATTATGAGTAAAGTGTTCCAAAGTGATTAGCCATCATAATAACCTCAGACTGTGTCTACCTAAAGATCGTACACACTGAGAACTGCAAATAAATGCAAGTTTGAGGCTGCAAGTTTCCCTTCCTCCTGACTCCCATTATTATCTTAATTAGTCATATCATCTAGATGAGTTCCAGTGAAACTCTTATTGTTTTGGATGATTTTTCCAAAGTGCCAAGTTTCTTGAATGACTGGTGAAACTCTTTCCAAAGAAAACTTTATTAGCCTTAATCAGGTAAATTTCATCATCCTGGAACAAATGGCATTTTACTTCATCACACACTGTAAGTTTATTGTATTTGGCCACATCAAATAAGCCTTTCTTACTCAGACAGATGACCTATTCACAGGAACTTTCATTTAAAAGTGGACTAAGCCAGAAAAACAGATGTAGTGATTTTACAAGATTTAAGAAATAATGGCATTTTCACTTCTCCATATTTTCCAATTTAATCTCACAGCTAGATATTTTCAGCGCTAGAAATATTTAACACCTCCAAATCACTCAGAATATTTGAAACTCTCAGCATTCATCTAAATCAGACTGAAAATTACTTTCTTTCAATATATGATTTTTTAAGTTTTAGTTGAGTTCTTAGTTAGGTGATGCTACTATTCTTCAGTGTGAAAAGCACACCCACTGAAGACTTGATCCTTAAAAATATGTAGTAGCCTAAGGAAATTTTGTCATGGGAACCAGGAAGAGAATCTAAGCTTCTTTGTCTCTATTGAGATTCCTTTGATCTGAAAAATTTTTTGAAGTTGCAAATCATAGAGCTGGTAAGAAGGGTGGTGGCACATCTATTTGATACAAAAAATGCTACCCAGGTGAAATCTGTAACATAGCAAATTCAGCAAATTCAATACACTCAGAGCAAGTGGCAGCTGAAAGATTCCTCACAGAAAATGGTTTCTGATGTCTAGATCTCTTTTTGATAGTATTTCCTACATTTTCTGCTTATTAGTAGTTAACAATTGGCTTAAGTGTGAAAACACTGGTTTTAATATGTTTCCACTTTGTTAAACATAACTCTGGTCATTCTTGGCATGTATCTCAATTTGTCTCTGGAATGTGAGACATCTAGAGCATCTTTTCTCCAGCCCAGCACAGCCGAGTTACATTGTTCCTGTTGCTGGATTAGTTTTTGCTTGCTTAGGCAAGAAGCGTTTTTTTTCCCCACCTTTTTGACTCCAGAGACTCCACACTATTTCCTTAGACCATTATTAATGCCAGACACCTCTAGAGCACACCTTAGCATGGATTACCTTTGTCCAGTGACAGGAAAAATGTGCATTTATGTAAAGTGGTGTGGGATTTACCATGTCATGCACAGTGGAAGGTCCTGCTTATCAGCCTATTTCACAGTATTGACCTTATTTATTTTGCAAGGACTCAAACACCCTGACAAGTGTGGAGTCTGCAGTTCCATGGAAACCAGGCATGCCAAATTTAATACACTGCTAACACTATTCTCAGACAATCTCTTTAAAAATTACCAGTAACATGAAGATGCCTCCTAGTTACTTATCCATTCATTTTGTTTTTTTCAGAACAAACTTGTTTTCTAGGACCATTAGAATGTTCTGTCTAAATCCAGAAGAAAACTGGGCTGCACATGCTGATGCTGGTAGTACTTAGAGCAAGCTATGAAACAGAAAATCAGTTCAAATGATAATGCTTACCCCGTTCTGTGTCATAGAGGTACACAAACTTTTCCCACTTATAGTAAGTCAAGAGACTCAAGATGGCTCCTTTTAATGCTGGCCGCATCTGGATGACGAACTGCACATCTGCATCTGTTGGGAAGCTTGGTGTGATGAAGGACGTGTGAAGGGCTCCACAGAATGATGTCAGGGTGTTCATTGACATCTGGTCATAGAATCCAAAGATGGCATAAACTCCCCTGGAAAACTGTGAACAGACTAAAAAAGACAGACAAGGGTGTTAAAATCTGAAATATAATGAACACAAACCAATTTTTCAAAGTTACTGTGTGAGGTAAGCCTTCTAACCATTCCTGAAACTATTCTGTATGATGCAGCAGATTGAGTGAATTAATGAGAAAATATAATTTCTCATAAATACTAATTTTAGTGTAGCACTAAATTGTATCAACTCTGTAGCATTTAAACTGGCCTGAACACATTTATTTTTGGTTGTGTTTTGTCCTGTGTTTCTACAATCCACTAATCTCTCTTTATTCTTTAAAAATTAACATGGGATTACATTACCTGTCTGTAAAATATCTTTCCTTCCTTAAGTAGTACCTTGAGAGCTCTGTGAGGAGCTACATGACAAATGTCAGGCCTGCCTAAAGGTCATAATGTTAAGGTGTATTTTTTCCTGGTATCTAAACTTTGATTCAGATCTGATTCTAAGAAATTTGGGTGGTTTATTCCTTTATAGTTCACAATTCTGAAAACTCTGTGTGGTCCTTTTCAGTAAGAAATTATGGTGGCTTCTTAACAGAGTGTTAAAATCTTTCAGAAGCAATTTGGAAAGTCTATGACTTATTATATGACAGCACAAATGAGGATCACATATTGTTGCATCATTGGACTAAAGCTTATATCCCTTAAATTGAAGGCTCTTAGTCATTAACCATTCTCCTGTCTTGAGGAACTCACCCTATACCAGAAAAAAATCAAAATGCAGACAAAGATGATTTTTTTTACATGTACTTATCTGGGGAAACCCTTCATTATTTCCCATCCTTTATAGAGATTGAACAAAGACCATTTTGGACAGAAATGAAAGTATTTCAATTTGCAAACACGGCCAGCTTCATGGGCATTGCAGGAAAAAAAAATTCTTTATTGTTCAGCTCTGTAGGAAAAGTGCAAAATTCTTGTGACCATGGGTTCTTTCCATGGAGGGAGTCTGATGTGTGAGGGGCTGGGGCTCTGGATTATAAAAAGATTGTACAAATGCAATACAATACAGCACAGCAGCACTTCTAATTGTACCACTGCTGAACAGGGATAAGCAAGACCCACTTGTAATGAAAAAAATTTCCCAGAAAAATGTTCATTCATTAACATTAACAATTTCACTGTCAAGAACTGGATCTAAAAACAATTTACAACCAGCTCCATTGTCTTGGGGTGATTTTATGGTGATACTCTATTCCCTAGTCATTTGCTTTATGCCCAGAAATGGCTGCTGCAGATTTAATATGAACCAGCCTGGGAACCCCAGGCATGGGCTCTGCTCAGAACTCTTTTTACGGCATGTGCTGTGCACCATGGACTGGGATGCTACACTGTTCTGTTGGATTAGTTTTTGCTTGCTTAGGCAAGAAGCTGGTTTTTTTTCTTTCCCCACCTTCTTCCTTTTTCCCTGGACTCCAGCAGAGATCCTTCAGGTTTGTTTGGGGTTTTTGTTTGTTTGTTGTTTTTTTTCTTTGAGCTGTTTCAGATTGTTTTTTGGTTTTTTCCCCTCCACTCTCAGGAGCCTGTGGGAGCTGCACTGGACAGTCTGAGCCCCAGGAAAGACCAAGCCAGCAAAAGAAAGGACACCAAAACCCACCAGCTTTGCCTGCTGTGAGAAGCCCAACACCAGAAAGGTTCCCATCTATTCTGCCCGAGTGGCTTCGTGAACTCTGTGCCTTCCCTTCCCTGAGACAAATGGGGCAGCTGCCATCCTCACCCCCTGGCCATAGAGGCCTGGTGGGGGTTAAGGTTTTGAATTTTCAATATCAAGCATTTTCAATCCTTTCCTGCACCTGCATGCACCCTTTTTTCGGTTAATAAACAATTAGGGTTTTTTTTCTCTTTCACCCACTGGTATTCATTTCTCTCACTGGAAAACTCCCTTCTCTTTAGAGGAAAGGCTAATTCCAGAGCATTTTCTCCTAAAATTTGTCTCTAAACCAAGGCATCCATTAAACAGTTTTGCAAAACACTGCATATTTAACTTTGCAAAAAGCAAAGTAATTACTAGCAAGGAAGACATGGCTTCTACACAGAAATGTACAGTCTTGTTCCTTCTGAAATACCATCACATTTTCCACCATAAATGCTACCATTCAGGATCACTAAAAACTGTTGAAGTAATCTTAAATATCAGCTCATTGACACAGCATCATGGAGAACATCTAAAATCAGCAGTCAGGTGTGAAAATTTTATTTTCTTCCTGGAGCACTAGGTGCAAAAACTAGAAATATTGTTAAGGAATTTCTTTAAGTATTTAAGCCACTGTAACAGGACATGACCAGCTGTGGATACCAGCAGCAAATAACAGCTGGGGAGACACAGAAAGGAAATAAGAGGTGGTAATTTCTGAAAGGAAAGTTTGCAGAGGTTCTCAACCACAGAAAATAAAATATATAAAATAAGTTATAATACAGTAACAATTTATTCCCAGAGGCATGAATGAGGAACTAAATATACTGTTTAAAAAGCATTTTGTTAAACTATATACCAGCAGGATATAAAGCAGAAAAGCTACCACAAAAAATTATTTGCTGAAGTAACAAATAAAGAGCATTAATTTACAGGTGGAAAAAAGGGAAAAACAAAACTTACATTAGAAAGTTTGGCAGTCTCCAAATCATTTAAATGGTGCATAAACCCTCTAATTCCATGGGAATACTCAGTGAAATGGTATTACTGGAGCCAAGTGTCCTCACATACACTGAGCCTGTACCTCATACATCAAGCTTCTTTTACATATATATTAATGATATAGTTTTTATGTAGATTCTGTACTGCAGGGAAAAGCAAGAATTCTAGGAATCATCCCTTCTTGCAACATAAACTAATATAATTTCAAAGATCTCCTGTTCCTAAAAACTGAGAATATTTCAAACTGGATTCACCCATTATTTTTTATCAGGTGTAAGACTCAGGAATACTTCTGAACTGTGACTCAACTGAACTGAAGTATATTTTCATACCAGATTATGCTCATTTATGCAAAGGGCCCATCCTCAATTGGTGAGTAATCTGAGAAAAAAACAGTCTGTGAACAACCTGACTAAGCAGGACCTTCTCCAAGTAACTGACCCAACATGGAGCTGCTGCTTGCGTGGAGGTGAGAGCTCTGATTTGGTCCTCTGAGTATTTGCAACTATTTTTCCTACTGATGATCACCAAAAATATCTTCTAACAAATGCAACTACCTGCCCACTCCTATTGCTCCTGGTTCAGGTTTGTATTCACAGAAGATTTTGAAGATTAACTCTTTGATAGATTGTCTTCTATTAGTAGCTTATTATACCTAATTATCTATTCTGCATTCACTGTAGGATGCCAATTCAGTTTTACCAGCCTATTTAAAAGACAAATAAACCTTTGTTTTTGTAAGGAAAAACTAAAAGGCAAATTATCTTGGTCCTCAATGTTCATTTTCATTTTTGAACTCACAGTTTTGTTAAAATTTTGTAGCATTAGGTCTTCCACAGTTTGTGACCTAATCTCCTCTGTGTCTGGACAAACCTACAGAATATCCATGAACCCACAGTCATATTGTTGCTTGTTTTCCAAAAACCAAATGTGTAATTACATTCATTTTAATTACACTATTATTCTAACATCACTGAGCCACAAGAAAAATTTTTAAAAGGCTAACTAAGCCTTAGCCTTAAGCCCTTTTTACAATCTACTTTCTACTGACAATCACAACAATCTTCATGTTTGACTAAGAATTTTGGTATTTTTCCTTAATTAACCACTGTTGATTTATGAGCTTTCACTTTCCTATTTGAAAAATACAGATGGTCAAACACATACTTTGGCTGTTAAAGAGATTATTTGGACAAGTCCTAGTTCAACCTCATTCCTCAAAAAAAAAGCAATTTTTTTTTTGCTGAGCTATGAAACTACTCTTAATTATGTGGATGCACATCTGTTTCCAAGGACAGCACATAACCAAGTTGATTTATAACCCGATCTGAAAAAGTTTCAATGCCCACAAACAAGGGAGAGAGGTCCTGAGCAGCAGTTATCATGATCTCCCATTGGACAAGCCATTATTTTGGCATTAGGTGCAAGGTGAGTACTTATTAATGGAGATTTAACACTGGACTTGTTCTCAGAGTGAGCTGCCACATGCCATTGTGTCCAGGAGAGAAAGTGATGGTATGACAGAAGTTTGTGATTCTCAAACATGTCAAGAGAAGATAAGAAACTTTCAGGTCATGACAGACTGGTGTTCCCTGCCAAGGAAGGAAAATGCTCAGAGGCAGAGTGATAACAGTGGTAAGCAGAGTTCACTTAAAAAAACAAAAAACAAAACCAAAAAAAACCCACCAACAAACCAAAAACCCCAAAAACAAACAAAACCAAAAACCCCAAACCAATCAAAAAACCCAAACCCAAAAAAACCCAAACCCCAAAACCAACCAGCCAAAAATGCAACTACTGAAGCTAAATAAATAGAAATCTTAGTTCCCATACTGAATAGCAGCTGAGCCATCCTAAGCATCAGTGGAACCCAATGAACGCAGACGTCTGTTTTACTTGCATTTCCATCTTCCCTCCAGTCAAATCAGGCCCACCACTGAAACTTGCTAAGGTTAACCAGGTAAGTTTTTTTTTGCACTTAGATCCCAGGAAGGCTGCAGGCCAGAATCTCAGAAGACACCCCACTTCACACAAGTTATTAGACATTTTATGCCTTTTTAAAATTTATTTTTGCTTTCTAATGGTATTTAGTTTCTCTATGTTTTAGTGACTGTGAGTATTCCTGACACAACAAGGTTGTATAAGACCTGACGTTTCTACTGTCTATTGCCTAGAAGCTAAAGCCAAAACTTCTCTGACACTTTTTTTTTTTTTACTTCTAGTTCTTACTATAAACAACTGAAGCATTACCAGGAACAACTAGGTTTGGATTTTGCTTGTTTCAGGAAAAGATGTATAAAGCTAACAAAAGAGATATGTTAATGGTAGATTGTAATACGTGGTCTACCATTGGATG